TTATATCAAAAATCATTATTAAACTATAGTGTTGTCGATACATAGTTAAGTAAAAGTCATAACACTTTTATATAAATTTAAAAATTTAATAGTTTTGATAATTGAGGGTTGGCTGTTTTAAGTTCAATAAACTGTATTATGTTAGTCTCTCTCCCCTGTGTTTGGTGTGTAACATAACTGTGCTCTGAGAGTGGATTTACAATTAGACGTAAAGTATTTATAATTAATTAACTCCGATAATAGCGAAAAAAGCATTAGTGTATTGAATTGTACATATTTGGGGGACTAATACTAATACTGCAGACTTCCTATTCTTTTGTGTTATGTATGTGTTGTAGTGGTGTATGTGATTGAAGTCGACAATACTCTGTACAAATGCTATGCTTTTTTCACATACAGTAGACTCACTATTATATAAAAGACTTCATATTTTAATGGATATACCAAACAGATATAGTAATGGATAGTATTAATAGAAAATGCTAAAAATGCAGTCAAAGGCAACAAAACATAAAAAAGTACATTTTTAAATGACAATACATTTGACAATAGATATCAATTAAATATTATATATATATCTCTGACTCTGTCTGTGCGATGGGAAACACAGATGAAAAATAAGTCAATTTATTCATACAAACGACAGACAAATTGACGCAAAATATATAATATATTATATGACAATCATTTTAAGTAACAAAAAGATAACATCAAAATATATAAAACTTCAGCTCGTTTTTCAATGATTATGTGCTGTGTATTTGTTTCTTATCACTTATAACTGTAACATTCATTTATTACTATATGTCCCTATCGTATAAATTATAATATATAACTTACATATAATTTAATATCCAATAATTTATATGTGTGTTTTCTAGTAAAATGTTTTAAATCATGTTTTCGTATTCAAGCAAATCGTATCGAGAGATATAGACATCGAAATGAATGCAATTTATGAGTGAAATGAAGTCAGAAAATTATTGTGATAAATAGCTCACAAATACATACATATATACTTATATTGTACGCACAATATAAGACAATAATTCAATTGTCGAGGTAATTATAGTTATTAAATGCAAGTCGACTTATTCAGGGGGGCTTTTGCTTACATTCACACCACTATTGAGGTCTCCGTAATATTGACTGATATTTATTATGCCTATCGTTTCATAACATATTTTTCTACTTCAAAATATATTTAATGTCAAAAACTGTTACTATTTTTGAATACAATATCGTAACGATTAGATAAATTCATTGCTCCAAAGAGACAATTTCAAGTGGTTTTCTGTCTAAAAAAGTTAATATCACTTTTAGTTTATTAAATAATAGGATAAATTTTGTTGAAAATTTAGTGTTTAATATGAAAACTAAAATATATTCTCATATGAATAGATGGATAGATAGAGAGAGTGCGTGAAGAATAGGATGTAATAAACAGGGAGACAAATATACAGTATATATATATAATATAAAGATAAAAAGAGACACAAAATCCAATAAAAATCTATGACAAACACACATTCCCTACGTAGAGATGTCTCCGTACAGAATATAACCGAAAATATTTTGTTCGCCTATTAATACATATGAAATACTCCCGGAGTAATCGGTATTTGAAATCAAAACACATACAAAAAGCACAAATAGAGACAAAACAATACAACAAACAGGTATTTGAATAGAGAAATAATAGTTGTAACACAAATAGTGGCACTAATGATACCATTAGTTTAGCCGCGAATAATAAGTCCACTAAAGCATAGATAGGAAGGAAATTCCTCACCAGTAAGTGATCACAAATTTACTACTCATAAGCCTATTCACAAAAAAAACTTTTATTTTTTGCCTAAAATTACTTCATTGATAACATACCGTAAGCTATACGTTGAGTTTTAGTCTTAATATAGACTTTATATTTATCGCGAAATAACGAGAAATGCAGACAATTTTTCGTAACAAATATCATATCTCTCTTAAAAATATTTTTGAGAATTGAATTCTCGGCGACAAAAAAAATTATATACACTTTTGTGTGCGACTATAAAAAACAAATTTTGTTATAAACTTTTTTTCGCCATACGACAAGACTATAGTATTATAGAGAATAACGAGTATATAGTGTATAATAAATATGTTATCAATCAAATAGACGTAAGAATACTGTATTTTTGCGAGTGATAAGAGTTTCATAAAAATGTTTGTCTCGTATTGTGATAATCATATGGTTTTATGAAATGGTATGAAACGGAGGCACTACTAATCATGCATTCATTGGATTTTCGATATATAACACAATAATATAATAATTATTTAATTTTTTTTCTCTCATTTACTTTTCACTCATTCATTTCACTTGTGTTTTGCGTTCACTTCTCTCTATTATAATATACACCACAAACTCGTTGCGAAAATATAGTTCAATTGAATTATTATATAATTTAATAGACACTGAATGTAATTAACGTTTTTATTATTTGTTATCTACTCAAATACGAATCCATACAATCAAACACTTCATAATCAAACACATATATAAAACATATATATATACTTATGTCATACGATTGATAATCAATCGACTAATGTATTCAACAAAACAATTACATCATAATAATAAATAAATAATTTTAAGGAAAAAGGAGTAAAAGTATTCTCAAAAAAATTTGAATTTTGTTTATTTAAATAATCAAATTATATTGGGATATAGTAAATAATATAATCAACAAAAAAGTATTCATACAATGAGCCAAATATTAGGGGTGGAAATCTCCACCAAAAATCGCCTATGATTTATGGTGGCACTTATTAGTGTGTGTTTTGAAATGTTTGATTATTTGGCGTACGCTATTGCCATTCATACTAAAATAAAAATGCTATTAAAAATTTAATGATCCGAGCAGCCAAACAGCTGAACGAACCTGGCAAATAATTGTGAACTTATTTTTTTCATCAAATAGCATTTCATTTGAAGTCTAGCGAGTGTTTGCTGGAAATTGAAATCAACTTTTTGAGTGTTGCCATCGTTTAAAACCTCGTATTTGACTCTCGCATCGAGAGCGAGAAAAAGTGGCAAAAAATAAGTTGTTTTTCTAATTTTCTAATACATTTAGCGAATGGCAAAGTCATAGCAAACTTGATATGAGGGGCACACAAACTCTAACACACATTGAGATCTAGATTTTCACTTTTTTCCGTAACAATCGTTAAGAGTTTGGTAGAAAAACACTTATTTTTCATTTTAATTAAATTTGATATAATGTATAATGTATTCGTTATGTGAGCGTATAGTTCATAAAAATCGTGTACTGAATAAACACAACAGCGTCTGAATACACACTTTTTGATTTCATATATATATATTTTATTTCCCATTTCAATAAGATTTTGTTTAAATAATAAATTCAAATAAAAGCCAACAGTAAAACAGACAAAAATACTTATTTTAAACTACAATTAATAGCCACTTAATTTATATAATATATTTCATGAAAACAGTAGTTATTTAATTCTGTAATAATTATATTGGTAATTCGCATTCTCATTTATATTTATAAATATATATTTAGTTTTTCGTTTCAATGGAGTCGAGAAACTCATAAAAATATTATTTTCGTAATTAATAAAAAACATGAATTAAATAACTTTTTTCACATTCAATGTATGCATATATAAGTGTTTCTCGGTTTTGTATCAATGAATATAAAGTCGAGAAAATTCTATGAATTCAATAGTAAGTTAAATAGCATATCATTAATGGTTTTCATAGAGAATATAGATTTCGGAAAAACCTTTTTGTTTAAATATAAATTCATTTGTTTTGGTAGTTTCCATGTATTTCTATAGGTTTATTTTTTAATTTACAAATACATTAGCCTCTTTTTATACATTTTATAAATTAATCAATATTATATATTATCAATACAAACAAAATTATAATTATTGAGTGAGTTATAGTTGTCATTACAGTACTTTTTCGGGGACTTCTTATTAGTTTGCAATTCGTTTTGTTAAATACATTTCGTTTGAAAAATCAATTATTATAGAGTTTTTCTGTTGTTGTGGCCATTGAGTGAATTTTTGACAGTAGTTTACGGGTTTTAAAAACGATTTTCAATTTTTCATTCATAGTGTAGTCATTAATCGTCATTTTTCATTGGACAGCATTTGGTAGACATTCATATATATAAATATATAATATATTTATGTGGATATCGTTGTAGTAATTGTGGTTTTGATTGCAATCAGAGCTGATATTCGTTCGCTTTTTATACTGTTTTCTCCACACATTATAATTTCATATGATTTTTATGTATATTTTTTTAGGATTTTTTATATAATTTTTTTGGTATAAGAAACGTCGAGACAAAAGGAAAAAAATTAATATATAATACGATATACGAAACGGGAGTTTTTAAAAAACAAGAGGCGATGGGTATCGATAAAAATTGACAGCAAATGCATTGAACGCACCGAAAAAATAATATACTTTTCGTGTTTTGAAAGCAAAACATTTTTTTCTGTTACTTATAATAATAATAGTAAAAACAAACAACAAAACAAAAAAAACAGACCAAACAATTGGTATATTATTTGCGCGACAATCCGATGGCATCCAAACGGGTCGATGAGTGTATGAATGGAAATGGATTTCGCGATGCCTTCCGATAAACTGATGAGCGATGGGCCCGTTTTGAGGGCAAGAAATGCGAGTTTTTTAATCAAATTATTATTGAACTGATGCGTGAAATGAATGGGGGTTTTGTTGTCTCGTGTTTTGTGTCAGACGTATGACTGAAAGAGCTGTCAAAATATATCCACAAATGATATGAAGACGCGTTTGATGTGTGTAATGAGGGGTCGGACGAGGGGTGAGAAAAAACAACAACAAATGGTGTATTAGTTTTCCGATGAGTTATTGGCCACAAGAGATAGTGTGTGTCTGTGTGTACTGTCTGTATGGGCGCACCCGTACTCTCTCTCTGACTCCCGATCTATGCGCTCATACACGTCATCCATCCGTGGCCGCAGTGACACGGCGTGTAACAGGTGGTGGCGGGCGGGGGACAGGCGGGCGGCTGGGCTGGGCTCAGTTGGTGATGGGTTGGCATATATGGAGTATAGAAGTATTGAGCGCCCGTACAGATCATTTGGTACGGGTTGGTCGTGTGGTGCTCGTACTGGAGGTGCTGCTGTTGGTGTTGGTGTTGGTGCTGCTGTTGGTGTTTGGCGGCCACGAGCCTCTGCTGGTCCTGATAGTAGACATAATGGGCCAACTCGTCGATGAGGTTGAGCGTCTGACGGCGCTCGTGACCCATGAGGCAGACCGTCGACTCGTTCACGACCCTCGACAGTATCATCAGGTAATCAAACTTGAGGTGCTCGTAGCCCACGAAGTGGTTGGCCAGGTATCCCTCCAGTTTGGACCGCTGCTGACCCAGGTCTGAGAAGTCGATGAAAAACCGGGAACACATGTACTTCTCGAGCTTCTTGATCTCGAGCGCGTCGAACGGGTGGTAATCCCTGACCAATAGGTTGCAGTACTTGAGGAGACCGCCGCCGCGAATCTCTTCGGGCGCTCGGGTGGCGATCAGCTTCTTCTGGAGGTGGAGGAGAGCCTCGCGAAAGTCGCCGAACACCGACTCGGCCACGACTGTCGGGTAGAAGTTCTCGGTGATGGCCATCGACTTCGAGCACTCGTAGAACTGGAGCAGAGAGTCGAGGATTATGTGGAACGAGTCCACAGAGAACTCGAACTGCCGTTTCATCACATCCACGAACTTTATCTCCACATTACGGCCCAAATTGTTGGACAGCGATATCAGTGACCACCGGTCGCCGTCCGTCACTTTCACCATCTTATGCACGTAGGCCTCTTTCAGGCTACAGGTGCTGATGCGCTTCTTGATGGTGATGTCGGGCAGGAAGTCGAGCAACGAGTCCAACACCGCCGCCCGCACTCTGTCGAAGTTGCGATGGTTCGAGAGGTCGACGCCGAAGATCAGGTCCAAGTCGTTGTAGGCCGAGCTCTCGGGCGTCAGCACATGACTGGCCGCACCGCCGTTGAGCCGCACGTCGCGCACCGGCACGCCCTCCGTGTCCAGCTTCTGGCGCACCACTTGGATCAGGTGCTTGAGCTTTATCTCGAGCGTCGGGAAGTTGCCCCTACCGTGGATGGGCACCACCTCATCCATCACCCGATCCAGTCTACACACCTGTTCGTACGACAGCACCGAGTATTTCTCGCACCGGAGGTCCACCTCTTTGCCGCCGATCACCACCAGATGATTATCATCTCCGGTGGACAGGCAGTCGCCGCCGAACACTATATGCTTACCGCAGAGGCGGTCCTCGTCGGCCACCACCGGACTCATCACAGTCTTCGTGGTGGCCAACACCAGACCCGTCGATGTGTTGATATTCAGTGTCATTGTGACGGCCGTCTCGTCTGTCGGCGACGACAGCTCGTTGTCGGAGGAGTAGATCGAGTCGGTGGCCGACAGGTCGTCAAAGTAGGCGTCGTCGACGACCGGTAGCCGCAGGTGGAGGCGCAGGTGCGGTAGGTGCCTCGTGTACTTGGGTGACAGGTCGCTACCCAACAGGCTGTCAAGTGATGAGCACAGCGTGTATAGCTGCGCTTTCTAAAGCTTTTCAGGCGAAAGTCAGTCACAAAACTACTGCAAAAACTTTTAGTGAATAGTCTTGTTATTAGTTATTAGTTATTATTATTATTATATGTCTTATTGCCGATGACTGGTGACCGTTATGGGCGTTAGTAGTGGTAGTGGTGTGTCTTGAGTGGCGAATAACGGCTTAATTTAGATGACTATTAAGAGATAGAGTAGTGTTTGAAGCGATGGCACGACTAATAAACTCAACACAACTACTGAACACTGGGACACAACTCACGACTGACTACACATCAAATACAGACAACACTTTTTCCATAGCGCTGAGAGTCTAAGCTTTTACACAACAGTCAGACGCAGTGCAGTGTAGGCTATACTAGGCTTGAGCCGAGATTCGTGTGTCGACTCGAGTCCACTATGAGAGTGAGAGTGAGAGCGAGAGTGCAGTAGTAGTGGTGAGTGAATAGTGTTGTGTCTGGGATTGAGACTCCACTTCATGTGAACAGTTGTGTTCAACTAATACTGTACTACTTGTTAGGCCTGTGCTGTTGCCGCACATACACTCTCTCTCATACCTCTATGAAAGCATAGCACTCTCCCTCTCTCTCCCTCTCTCTCCCTCTATCCACCCAATCGTGTTAGCACTGGAAGGCCAACCTCGCAATCTATGCCACCACTACCTCTACATTGCAGTACAGTACCAGTGCTCGTGTATAAAGTACGTGACAGGGGGTCGAGTGGGGGGTGTATACTAGAAGGGGCACTGTATGTAAACTTTTAAATATGTGTGAATTGCGGGCACCGGATGGTCACAACTAGTAGACGATACGAATGCGGAATGGGATCCAGAATTTGAGCACTAATTGAATGCTATTTTGAATTTCCATTTGAATGTCACAGCAATTCCTAACACACTGTTTGCATACATACACTGTACAGCCCTTCCCCACAACACAGCATCCAGAATATCCTTCCTCTGGAAAAAATATCAACTGCCGGTGAATACACTATTTTGTGCGCTACCAGTGCTCTCAGCGTATATACGATATATTTATTAATATATCAATGAATTTTGTTAAGAAATATATCAATTGTTTTTTGGTTTTTTTTTTCTATTCAATACAATGTATTAAAAGTTTACTATTAGATAAGAATACATACGTAAACTTGCAGTAATTCTCGTTTATTATGTATAAGCTAATGATATGTATTCTGTATAGCGGTATAAAATTGTTATTAATTGTATTATGGTTTATGATTAGTGTATGAATATATCGCTAAATCTCTTTCTCACACTTTCTTATCGTATTTACTAAAAATAAGCTCACATTTAGGCGTCTATTACGCGAGTAAAATGGGTGTCCTTACGGGACCATCACTTTTAAGACAGTTATCACAACAGTTAACATATTTGTGTTTAATTTATTTCGTATAATATATTACATTTGATTTAGTGTACGGTTATATCTGTCGGTATCTATTTTCGCTGATAGTTATTTTATAATGAATGCTCAAAATTCTTTATTCATACGCTATTACACAATATTTGGACAAAAAAATCTAATCAAACAAATAGTGATACAATATTTAGCAGCAGCTGCTGGCCATCGGCGTCCACCTCCGCGTCCACGCCATCCACGGAGCACATGAACCCACTGTCCAGCGATGGGTTGTCCGACAGTTCACTACTCGTGTCGCACATATCGACGCGAAAGATGAGCTTTTCAGGCGAAAGTCTGTCACAAAACTACTGCAAAAACTTTTAGTGAATATATAGTCTTGTTATTAGTTATTAGTTATTATTATTATTATATGTCTTATTGCCGATGACTGCGGTGACCGTTATGGGCGTTAGTAGTGGTAGTGGTAGTGGTGTGTCTTGAGTGGCAAATAACGGCTTAATTTAGATGACTATTAAGAGATAGAGTAGTGTTTGAAGCGATGGCACGACTAATACAACTCAACACAACTACTGAACACTGGGACACAACTCACGACTGACTACACATGAAATACAGACAACACTTTTTCCATAGCACTGAGAGTCTAAGCTTTTACACAACAGTCAGACGCAGTGCAGTGTAGGCTATGCGACGGCTTGAGTGTCGACTCGAGTCCACTATAAGAGTGAGAGTGAGAGCGAGAGTGCAGTAGTAGTGGTGAGTGAATAGTGTTGTGTCTGGGGTTGAGACTACACTTCATGCTCACACTTGTGCTCAACTAATACTGTACTACTTGTTAGGCCTGTGCTGTGCTGTTGCCGCACATACACTCTCTCCCATACCTCTATGAACGCATAGCACTCTCTCTCTCTCCCTCTCTCTCCCTCTATCCACCCAATCGTGTTAGCACTGGAAGGCCAACCTCGCAATCTATGCCACCACTACCTCTACATTGCAGTACCAGTGCTCGTGTATAAAGTACGTGACAGGGGGTCGAGTGGGGGGGTGTATACTAGAAGGGGCACTGTATGTAAACTTTGATATATGTGTGAATTGCGGGCACCGGATGGTCACAACTAGTAGACGATACGAATGCGGAATGGGATCCAGAATTTGAGCACTAATTGAATGCTATTTTGAATTTCCATTTGAATGTCACAGCAATTCCTAACACACTGTTTGCATGCATACACTGTACAGCCCTTCCCCACAACACAGCATCCAGAATATCCTTCCTCTGGAAAAATATCAACTGCCGGTGAATACACTATTTTCTGCGCTACCAGTGCTCTCAGCGAATATACGATATATTTATTACTATATCAATGAATTTTGTTAAGAAATATATAAATTGTTTTTTGTTTTTTCCTATTCAATACAATGTATTAAAAGTTTACTATTAGATAAGAATATATACGTAAACTTGCAGTAATTCTCGTTTATTATGTATAAGCTAATGATATGTATTCTGTATAGAGGTATAAAATTGTTATTAATTGTATTATGGCTTATGATTAGTGTATGAATATATCGCTAAATCTCTTTCTCACACTTTCTTATCGTATTTACTAAAAATAAGCTCACATTTAGGCGTCTATTACGCGAGCAAAATGGGTGTCCTTACGGGACCATCACTTTTAAGACAGTTATCAAAACAGTTAACATATTTGTGTTTAATTTATTTCGTATAATATATTACATTTGATTTAGTGTACGGCTATATCTGTCGGTATCTATTTTCGCTGATAGTTATTTTATAATGAATGCTCAAAATTCTTTATTCATACGCTATTACACAATATTTGGACAAAAAAATCTAATCAAACAAATAGTGATACAATATTTCTAAACAGTATTTCTCTGAACATTCAGTTCGCGAGTACAGAAATCGACACATTTTTGCTAATCAAACATTAAGGTCTAATTTATTTGAATCAAAAAAAAAGACTCTCGATTCTGTACAAGTGAACTCAAAAAAAAACAGCAAACTATTAACTATTACATAAAACTCGTGAATGAATGAGTGGTGATTGTAGGGGAGAGAAAAGTATGGCAAGTATTTCAAAGTCAAACTCTCTATTGTGAGTTTGTAGTACAGGCTTTTGTACGGCACAGGAATTTCAATGAAAATTACATTTAATTAAATGTAAAATGTATTGAGTTGTGAGCGAATGCTCGGCAAACATATGGAATATTCTGGAGTAGAGTCGAGACAAACACTAGAAATAAATACAACTTCTTTCTGAGGCTAAGTATAGACTCTAGAGAATCGCTTAAGTCTAGTCTTACCAACCATTCAAACCATTCATACTACTGGTGATAATAAGCACCGGCATAGCAACCAACATGACGTAACTATATTTGATCGACTTTTTCGCAGTCATCATAATATATTTGCCCACATCTTGTGAATCGATCCGATGGTTACGTCTTTGTGATCATAAATAACACATTTTTAACTAAATTTTACGCTTTTGTTTGTTTTACAGATTTTGTGACTTTTATTTTCATTAATTCTCTCTCTATGTATAATCAGTGATATATGATATAAGTATCACTTAATTCACATAATATGGCAATTGTTTAGTTGTGTCAGCAATAGATATGAGATTGCCATACGTGTGTAGTGTTTGTGTGTATTCTATACGGCATTGGAAAAGTTTTTAAATCTCTTATGCTTTATAAATTCTGCTATTATTTTATTCATTTATCATTCAATTTTGTAGATATAAACATATTTACAATCGGTTATATAAGTTATATTATAGCATACACCCGTATTCATGTAACTAAAATCTGAATCGAGAATATATTTGACAGAATATATACAAACATATTGTGTTCAATGAATAGTGAGAGCACTTGTATGATATGCACTCAATTTAAAATTGATGACTTTCACTGAAACACACATAATCGTACAAATTGTCATAAAATACACACACATCTACAGTACCGTACATAATGTACTAGAACTATTATTTTAAATCTGTTATTGTTATATAAATTGACTTTTATTTGACAGCAAAATCAATAAATGAACATTAATGCCAGTGAGAGATAAACGCGAATAATTAATTAACAGATTTTGTGACTTTTATTTTCATTAATTCTCTCTCTATGTATAATCAGTGATATATGATATAAGTATCACTTAATTCACATAATATGGCAATTGTTTAGTTGTGTCAGCAATAGATATGAGATTTTCATACGTGTGTAGTGTTTGTGTGTATTCTATACGGCATTGGAAAAGTTTTTAAATCTCTTATGCTTTACAAATTCTGCTATTATTTTATTCATTTATCATTCAATTTTGTACATATAAACATATTTACAATCGGTTATATAAGTTATATTATAGCATACACCCGTATTCATGTAACTCAAATCTGAATCGAGAATATATTTGACAGAATATATACAAACATATTGTGTTCAATGAATAGTGAGAGCACTTGTATGATATGCACTCAATTTAAAATTGATGACTTTCACTGAAACACACACATAATCGTACAAATTGTCATAAAATACACACATCTACTGTACCACTGTATACTCTACCGTACATAATGTACTAGAACTATTATTTTAAATCTGTTATTGTTATATAAATTGACTTTTATTTGACAGCAAAATCAATAAATGAACATTAATGCCAGTGAGAGATAAACGCGAATAATTAATTGATTTGTTTTTATTTAGACGTCGACTGTTCAATAATACATGAATGAGAAAGTAGAGGAGAAACTTATGATTAGTATAAATCTCGTGGCATTAAATACCAAATATAGCTCGCATGAGAAATAATGGTCATAATATTTGCTGATATACTGTAGCTGTACATACTTTATTACATAAATATTACATAAAAAGCATTACACAAAAACAATTACTTTGAGCAAACATTCCGATAGCTGTAGCGCTAGTATAGTATATTAGTTGTGGTTTTAAAGGTCACTATTTAGACCTAAACAATGCGCGCATTAAATCTAATTCAGTATTGTGTTACGTAATGTCATTCATAAAACCAGCGCTTTTCAAAGGTTTTAATGAATTATATTCTTAGCATAAGAGTAGACGTCAAAGTATAATATTAATAAAATATGAGGCTATTATTAGCCAACAGTTATTGAACACAAAAAATGTATTCTACACAATTGTTTGTTTAGCTATTATTATACAACATTTCGTATAACATATTGTTTTATAATTGTTATGTTGCAATAGATGTTACGCTAATAATATTTACCTAATTTTCTGTTAATTTAATACAAATTTTCAGAACAGATATCAAACAGATTGTTTTAATGTACAGTATAATATATTGTACTTTTTAATAGTGTATTAAATTTTATGTTTTCATATTTATATTTGTTGGTGTGTTCGCACAAATGTTTAGTCATTGAGTTGTAAATTAACTTATTAATTATATAATTTTATTGTTTTGTTTTCATATAACGCACATTACAAACATTAATTGACACTAATACTGTCAAGACCAAGTGGTTAAAGGTTTAAATAAAAAAGTATCCTATCTGTAGTGATAAATAATATGATGCCATTCTGTATATACAAGTATTTTATTTAAAAATGCTGTATAATCTTGATATCGATTCTTATGTTACAATTTCTTGGAAATAAAATTATATTAAATTGAAGTCGAAATGAAAATCTCTTTTTTGTGGCGAAATGATAAACAAGAGTCAAATAAAATAACAACAAATATATTACTTTTTTTTCTCTCTCTAGAAATGAATGCTATTTAAAGAAGGCTTAGAATAAGTTATAAGTTATACGGAAAAGAAGTTTTGGTTTTTCTAGTGTTAGGGTTTCTTTTGATGTTAAACCATAAAATAGTTTCTCATTTCTTGTGACCAAAATAGAAATGTATATAAAAGTATAAATTGAATATAAGTTTAATTTAAATTTAAACAAAATTAAAAACAACAAAAATTTATTTTCCTTCGCTAACAATAACACACACAAGTCCTATGCCTATTGAATAGGATATGAAAATTGCATGAGATTTCATAATAAGGCTATACTTAATGAATAATAATTATTGCTTTTGGAGTTTAACGTTGGAAAAGTCATACGGAAGGAACAGTATTGAGTGGGAATTGGGTGAGCCTTTTGGTGTAGGTGTGAAATACTCTGTCAAAAGATTAAGTATTGAACACAAAAATCTCTTTTACTTAAGCGATTGATAGAGTATACATCAAAACCAAATCAAATACAGTGTTGTATAATAGAAAACAAAAGCCGAGAATTTGAGTCAAGAATTAACATAATATTAAAAACGAGTGATAGGTTTTCACATGTGATAAACACCTGACAAATCGGTAGGCGCTCACTCGTATATCATTATCATTCACACGGTTAACTCACAGACAAACAATAGGACAGGTAGGTATTATGTGACTTTTGTCAACTGGTGTAACAGATTAACAACTAATATATCGCTTAGTAAATCATTAATTAATTTGAAAATTAGTTTTTATAAATAGGATTTCAAAGCCTTAATAGCGAAGGACATTATGAAATAGTTTACAGAATACATATTGAGTGCACAGAAAAATGTTTGAAAAATATGTGGAAAACATTCAACCCTTCAAAATGTGTAAAACATATTTTTGGTGAAAATTTATTAATGAAAACAAAGTGTAAAATGAAAATAAATAAATATGAGTGGAGAGAGAGAGAGAGAGAGAGAGAGAGAGAGAGAGAGCAACTAAATAAGATAGCAATCAACAG